CAGGGGTTACAGCTGTGGTAACGGTTGTTTGATTTTTTGCGGTGCGCTGCCTGTCGTGCTTGTTTTTTTTTTCTTGCAACATCGAAGCGGGTGCGCCAGGCAAACAGGAGAGAATTTGTCCCGACGACAGTACACAAATAAGCAAATAAGTGAGGTGCAGAAGAAAATGAAGAACCAAAGAGCGCCCCAAGACAACAAAAAGAAAACTCAACTCTGCCCACGCCCATGCTGGAACTTCACTCAACAGTACAGTAATAGTGTCGATCCATTTCGTTCTTTGTTGGCCCCGTAAGCGTGGGCGCTACACCATAAATCGAACACAACCTCATTAGTGCCGGTACCGGCACTAATGAGGGATTGGCCAGCCCTCAATAGTGCCGTTTTGGCACTATTCGCAATAGTGCCGGGTGCCCGATTTAGTGCCGGTGAACGCTCTGTGCACGTACCGGCACTAAAAGGGTCCCTCGACTGTAAACACCAATTTCAGACTCCTCTCCCCTTAGGTTGGATCCATCTGAAATACTCGCTATATGTGTTGTTGTACTTCGTATTGGTTTAATATTCATGTACAGCATGAGGAACTAAGAAAAAGTTTTATGAGGTACATATGCAATTGTCGGAAGGCAAACAAATCGCTCCAGGCGCCTCAACTGCAAGGTAGACTACGAGATCTCGCTCATTTGCGCGGCTACAGCAGCAGTAGCAGCGCTCGCGGGGGATAGGGGTCATCGCGAGAGTGTCGTGGCAGCGGCGGAACGAGCAACGAGGTTCGTCGAGGTATTCGGCTGACGTCGGAGCTCGAGAGGCNGGCCACCCGGTCGATCACCGGATGACGATACCGGCGCTTCTCCGCGTCAGCAACGGCGCCGCTCTGTTCGCATCGCCGAAAACACGGCGAGCGAGTCGGGACAGAGAGGAACGTGGGACCCCGCCAGAGGGACACCCCGTACAGAGGAAAGGAACAACCGCACGTCGTCGGGGCAGGACGCGCGCGCCCACGCTCCATCGGTTGGGGCCCCACGACGTTTGCCGGGCTCTCGGTCGCAGGGACGCGGCATCGCAATGACTATGCCGGCTTGGCTGGTCGCACGGGGACTAGGCGGTACCAGTACCAATAGCCAGTTCGGCGGGCTGCAGCGGCACGCCGTATCCGCGTCAAGCGGAAGCGTGAGGAGCGGCAGCGGGCGGCGAGGTGGCGAGGCGGGGGCGAACAGCCCCTCCTGTTTGCGGGGCTTGGTTATGGCACCCGCCGAGAGGTCTTTACCTCCAAGCTCTCAATCGGCGGGGAGGGGCCTGCATCGGACTGTCCCGGCGTGGCAGCTTGCCGGACGTGCAAACAACGGAAGCTGCGCTACCGAGAGGTCTTTGCCTCAGGGCTTTCAGTCGGCAGGGCGGGGCCTGGATCGGACTGTTCCAGCGTGGCAGCTTGCCACGCGAGAGGACGACGGATGTCGAGCACTTTGCCGGGTGGGGGGGTTGCAACAGGAGTCGGCATTAGAGACGGCCGATAGGGCCGGAAACGTCGGCAGGGGCACAGCAGGGGAAGACACAGGGGCTTCTACGCGACAGTTGGCCAGCGGACCACACATGTCGAGCGCATCCCCGCCGCGCATGACAGGATCAAGCCGACGACGCTCAGGGTCCTCCGGGTCCGCGTCCTCGCGGCCCCGGTCGCGACCCCGACATCTCTCGCCTTCACCTCGACGCGCTGAGGGTACAGCCGAACTGTCAGGTATCCTCCGGAGGAGGAGGAGGTCAGCGTCGCTCGATGGGGGTGTTCCGGACCGACCTCAGCAGCGGCCTCGAGTGTCCTTTTCTCCGAGCACGCGTATTTCGCCGCAGCGGCCTCGACACGGAATTGCTTTGGGTCGCCGAAATGCTTCTCATCGGCCGGCGGGCGGTGAGGCGAGGGAGAACCAACGAGGGGTTCTCGCTGGCATCTTGCGGTTCGTGCGGTCGCCATTCCAGCAGATGGTACTCGCGAGGACTGGCCAGCGTGGGCAGGATTCACACACGGATCGTTCCAGTGACTGGGGAAGGCGGCGCCCCGGGGTCGCGCCGCCCACCGGGACCTCGGTTCCAGCACCGCGTCGACGTGGTACAAGTTCGGGAGGAGCGCACACGAGCGCTCCACCCCTTCCACCGCGAGCTCGTGCAGAAGCGGAGGTTTCACTGGCCACTAGTAGGCCGGCAGCTAACAGAGACAGGCAAACGACGGCATCAGCAGATTTACGAGTCACAGCCGCACGGCCTAGGCACTCGTCCCAGCGCACGAGCGTCTGCGCGTCGGCTACGGGGCATCACGCGAGACCACGAGCATCGACCCCCGGCAGTTCTCGGGAGGGAGCTCTTGTGGCGGCGCCACCCAATCCGGGGCCACAGATGCTGGGCCCTCCGCGCTCTTCAGAGAGGACCCGGCCGACAGGCACCCCTTCAGCACTACCGGTGGCTTCCCCGCGGCCGGCTTCACCCGATGCGGCTGTTCTGAGGGATACAAATAGTGTGACTGACAGCATGCACGTTGATCCGCCCCAGCCCGGCGCGGTTGCGCCGTCATTAGTAGCCTCCCCCCAAGGTTCTATCGCGCGCGCGGTCGTCAGGACTTCTACCCGTAGCACCCGAGAGGCCGCGGGGACGGCCTTTCCACGTCCCCTCTCATCCGTCTTGGCGGCACGAGGGGCTTCGGCCGGGGGAGACGTAGGTACTGTTGGGAGCCTAGGTCCTTCATTAGGTAGCCATATCTCATCAAGGACACGGTTGCGCGTGCGGCGCGCTACGACACACACGGATTCTGTGACTACGCCGGTCGGTCCGGCTCTCGCGTCTTCTGAGACGCCCACGTTGACTCCAGCCCGCCGGCCGCCGGGATTCTCGGAGATTGCCTTGTCCGCGGCTGCCCCATCGGGAGGAGCGGCGCTAGAGCTCCTGTCGACCCCGCCGCGCACGGACGTATCAGCTTTGTCGGGAGAGTTAACAGCTCGCGTGGACGTGGGATCGCCGATGCCGGAGTCTCCCACCGAACCGTCGGAGGTTCCCACTTCCGGTTCCAGCGGAGAAGCTCCGCCAAATACCCGGGAGGGACGGAGCCCGGCAGACCAACCCACCCTCCCATCTGCTCGGCTGGAAGCGACGAGGCGCTCGCACGAGGGCGTCGGCGGGACTCGGGACCAGGGGTTTGCCAACGAGGGCCGCATCTCGACGAGAACTCGGTCGCGCACCAGCGCCGTGGTCGGGCGTCAGGTATCTGCCGCCCCCCCTGTCCAAACATCAGCAAGCGCACAAGGCGTCACCGACCGCGCACCAAGACTGGGCCTCGACCCTTTCCCGACCGCTAATGCAGCGCCAGAAGAACCACCGTGCGCACGAAGTCGACCCCTAGAAGGAAGTAGGCCGCGAGGAGGCCACGCCGAGGAAGGGGATTTGCCGGGGGCAGACCCGGGGGAGACACCCCCCGAGGCAGACACCGGGGAGACACCTCCCGAGGCATGCCGGGGAGACTCTGCTCCCCCCTCGGACCGAAGAACGGACGTAGCAAGTGCTGCAGTTGGGGAAGTCGCAGACCTGCTCCCCACGTTGCCCGCCGTCCCGATTACCCTCATCACACCAAGTCAACCGCAGTCAGGGCCCTCTCTTCCTTCGGAGGGGGGCAGTTCCCCCGAAACTCGTCACGTCGACCGAGTGGCCCCGCAGTCCCTGGCCCAGACGGATACCAGCGATCTAGCCCAGCCAACGGGTCGCCCGACTGCACTGCCCCCCGAGCGGTCGACGCCATCGCAGCAATTGCAGTCAGAGGAGCGTCCCCCCCGGCGGGAACAGTGTTCGTCGCATTCGCCGGAGCAACGGACAGTCGCCCAGCCTCGGGACACGTCTCCAACTACAGCGCTGGCCTCGCCGGAACACACGCCTTCTTCGGCCACCGCGGAAACGGCAGCAGCGCCTACTGAACCACTGGTGTGTGGCATCTGTTTAGGAGATTTCAGCGAACTNGCAGCAGCGCCTACTGAACCACTGGTGTGTGGCATCTGTTTAGGAGATGTCAGCGAACCGTCTGTGAACCTCGTTAGCTGCGGTCATGCGATGTGTGTGGGCTGCTATGCGAGGGCATGCGTGCGGGAAGTGGGCGATACCCTCCACTGCCCCATGTGCCGTATAGGGTCCACCATCTCAGAGACGAGTACCAGCTTGGAACAGCAGCACGGGAACGACGTAGTTTCTGATGCTTTTCGAGCAGCGAGATCGGAGAGGGACGTGGCTCGCTCGACCGCACGGGAGGCGAGTCAAACGCACGCGCCTCGCCATCTCTGCGGAGTTTGCCACGAATCAATAGGTCAAGGGGCTGACATGTCTCCGCCCTGTGGATGTCACCACCACACTCGATGCGCGGTGGGACTCGTAGAAGATCAACTGCACGACGCCCTGGCGAGCGGACACGACATTATTTCGTGCCCGCACCAGCGTACAAGACAGGA